AGAATTCCCAGCAACAGGCTCTAAAATAATGTCATACACTCACAGTCGCACATGAAATCAGAACCCTTGCCTCCCCGTCCTTCGTCCCAACCGAACAAAGTAATTATGTATTTACTCCGTCACTGCCTATTCTTCCTCCTCCTCCTCTCGCTCATTCTTTCCAAAATCTTTTCCAGTATAACAAAGAGCGGAAAAAAACGCACTTCGATAACCATATCGCCATATTTCACGCCATTTTCGGCCAACCGACGGCACAATACAGGCAACGAACAGTTCATCACATATTCGACGTTGCAAAGTCCAATTAACAATTTCCTGCTATTTATAGCACCTTCACTGAACAGTGCTGAAGGTCGACGAACGTCACTTCTGGAAATTTAATAGATTGTCTAAAACGCCTGCATATGAAATATGCTGATGCGTGGAACTTAAACTGAAACAAAAATTGTTAAATTTGAATAAAAACGTCACTATCTATGTGTAGGTGGCGAAATTAATTCATGAATCATACACTGGATTTTCGCACATTCTCTGAGATTTATGTTTCACTGAAAAACTCCAAGAATCTTAAGAAAAATCGCAAACGCGAAAAACCTTGTTTGTAGAATATTTTCGATAGAATCGCGAATCGAAACAAGGATCACGGTAAATAAATCGATCAACATGAGACGAAATCGTTCGCGGCTAAACAGATCGAGCTCACCCGGATAATTTGATGAAGAAAGGATTTGCCGAATTTGCACCATGCTCTCATTAATCTGCAATCAGATAAAAAATTTTACAGTAAAAAAAAGCACTGCCCAGAAAATTCGAGACGGATCAAGAAGTATTAGGAGGAGATTTGGGTGCGTCTGCTTCTCCTAGTTGAGGTTTTTTTGACTTCGATGGGAAAAATCGTCGGCAATCCGAAAAAAATGAATGGTTTTTATGGAAATTACTTCAAACGATAGAGCAAAAGTGTTGGGAAACAAACAGCTGCGTGCATTTCGGTAGTCGATATGGCTGTCAGCGTATTTGATACGCCCAAAGGTAGATCCAGGGCAGCTTTCTAGGGGAGGAGGGAAGGAGAGGGGGGGAGGGAAGAGGGAAAGAGAGAGG